TATTGAATGTGGTAGATTTTTTAGTATAGATAGGTCAGAAAGAGTGTGTGATTTTTGTAATAAGAAGAATTGGGTGATGAATTTCACTATATATTTAACTACAATTTTTTCAATGTTGAGAGGCAAACGTTTTTACCTGCAGAGATATGTAAAGTTAAAAATGTTGATCGTTTCTATGAACTAATGAATAGTAATGATCAATTCACTCTTGTTGGATTGTCTAAATTCTGTAAAATTGTAATGTCAATATTTAAGTGAAAAGTAAAATCACAAAAATACTGAACTCCGAGGAAAATTCAAAAAGGAAAGTCCCCAATCAAATGGCAAAATCAAAAAAACAAACACATCAAACGAATGGATAACAACTGTCATATTCCTGACTTGGTAAAGGCATTTTCTTATGTAGAAAATGGTGGATTGAACCTGGTTTTATAGCTAGCTAAACCTCTCACTTGTATGACAGTCGCATCAAATTCCATTATATTGACAACGATGCGTGAACAAAACAAACAGACAGTGATATTTACCTTCCTGGACAATTCTGTACATTTGTATATATGTTTAATTTTGTCCATGCATTATATTTGTTATATTGTATTGTTTGTACTATCATGCCTCATGTGAGGCCTTTAGTGAAATAAAAAGTTTCAAGTTTCAAGTTGCAAGTCATATGCGAATCTTTATTTGTTTAATATACGAATTCTCTCTATCATTTTAATTATAAGGCTATGAAATTTTTCATTGAAAACGAGAAATTTTTTTGAAAAAGTTGGCAATTAAATCACTGCGTCTTTAAAGTACAATGTTTATACAGTTTACAAACAACTTATGTTGTTGAGGGCCATGATGTATCATGACTCCCTAAAAAAACAATTGACCGAAATGAAGCCGAGGTCTACATTGCTTATGACTGAAGACCGGATGGTACAAAAACTGCCAGTTGTCTCGGAGTGACATGAATATTTTCTATATATCTTACTGGAAAGATAAAGTATTCAAACCAAACAGCAGAGTAAATACAAAATATATGATAAGCCTTATATGTGAAGTCCTGTTTCAAACGCACAAAACACTTCAAAATACAAAAACGAGAGTCCACATAAAAGAATAAAGAATAAAGATTTAGCACAAAGAACCTCAACAAGTTTTAAGCCTGGTATCTTGGATGAGTTAAATATCAAACATAATTAGAATTTGGAACGCCAGACTCGTGTTTTTCTACATAAGACTCACCAAAACAGTTGGAGACAAAATCAAACACAAAGTGGAAACATAAATGTCAAGGACTATCACCTAGCTAGACTTATACCGTATCTTTACTGGTTTTCCTCTTAGAGCACACGGGTGAGGTTCTTTGTTCTTGTTTTATGCGGACTGTCGTTTTCCACCGCCTTTTTTTATTGTAAGTGTTGTGTTGTCTTTCCTTCCTCAACCTTTTATACTGATTTTTCTGTATCTATAAGTTCTTGTTTTCAATTAAAAGATAACGAAATGAATTGATGGATGAAACGGCATCGTCAATGACCAAGTTAATGTTTATAACATAACTGTTTGGGCGTTCGATGTATGAGATAGCTTCTTATATAATTGACTAGTTAGTTTATATATAGTCTGTTTTTGTACATGTTTACCTTACTGTACTACATTAAACGTTGCACTGCAGACCTAGAGTGCATTTGGTTCAAAAATAAATTAGAAACTTAATAGTCCAGATCTATAGCAATCAATCTCAGTTAGACTTAAATAGTGTCAAGCACAATAACGGGTTATAGAACAATATAAATAGAATAGTATTCTACTACAGTAACTGCTTTCCAGTTTGACTAACAATTTTTGTGGAACCCAAAAAAACCCAACAATTTTGCACAAACACTCACTTTCTCTGAAAAACGAATTGTTTGCATATGCACAAATATCCAATTGAACCTACGAGGTTAACGATTATATTGCATTTTGGTGCATAAATTCCAAAACGTTGAATATTTTGTGTGCAGGTTTTTACTACCATTACAATATCTTTTATTGATATTTTTATTATTCGATATTTCATAACAAGTATTATTAATCTTATGATTATCATTATGAAATTGAGGGAAATAGGTGGTCGGATGAGTATATATATTTGCGTCTACCGGTGGCGGATCCAAGGATCGTAGAGGGCGTACCCTCCCCTCCCTCTTTGATCGGCCCTAAATTTATCATATCCCGTTTTTACGATCTATATGGTTATATAGCATAAAATCGTCCAAAAATATAATCCGTTTTATGGAATTACGCTCCTTTCAAAACTCCGTCCCTGTCTACTTTAAGAAAATAAACTAAGGGTGATAGCAAGTAAAACCATGACACTAGAAAAAAGAATATTGAATAATCTTTCTAGCATTTTTGCGCCTGTCCCAAGTCAGGAGCCTCTGGCCTTTGTTAGTCTTGTATGTTTTTTTAAAATTTAGTTCCTTTGTATGTTTTGGAGTTTAGTGTGACGTCCATTTTCACTGAACCAGTACACAATTTTATTTAGGGGCCAGCTGAGGACCACCTCCGTGTGCGGGATTTTCTCGCTGCGTTGAAGACCCATTAGTGGCTTTCGGCTGTTATCTGCTCTTTGGTCGGGTTGTTGTCTCATTGACATATTCCCAATTTCCATTCTCAATTTTATGAACCAACGACAACCACTGAACTACAGGCTCCTGAATTGGTACAGACACATAAAGAATGTGGCGGGGTTAAACATGTTTGTGAGCGCTTAACCCTCCCCTAACCTCGGACAGTGGCGTAACAGTGCAACATAAGAACAAACTATAAAAATCAGTTGAAAAAGGCTTGACTCATCAGATGGGTACAAATAGAAATACATCTAACAAAAACACAAAGTGAACGTGGACGGGTACTTGTACATCCCAAAAGACACTAAGTACAGATCTGAGAGTACTCGCAGTTACTGCCAGCTAGTTCAAAGCCAATAACAACTAATGAAAAAAAATCAGGTATCTAAGACTAAAGTATCAATCAGTACACATCCAACATCCAATGGATTTAGTGTAAAGATGTCTTTAACAGTCAGAGAAAAACATGACCGTGTGCAATGCCAAGCTATAAGTATCGACAGATTGTAGTACCGTAAAAGTGCATGTGTAATATTTAGTATGGTTTTAATTTACTGATATTAAAATCAATATTTATACCAATAAAAATAATATTCAAAGATTTAATTAACAGTGTTGAATAGGTAACCTTTTAGAATAGGTCTATTTACAGGATTGATAAGTTTACCCGGATCGTATCTAAATTTCCGGGTTCGGTTTACAACTTCAAACTTGCAGACCAAATCTTTGTATCTTTGAAAGAATTTTGTAAAGGTTTTAAGTAACTAGTGGTAACGAAATCCCTGACTTAATAATTTACTAGTAATACATAGATTACGCTCATTAAAATCCAAAACGTCACTACAAACACGAGCATAGCGAACGAGTTGGGATATATAAACACCGTAAGACGGTGCCAAAGGAACATCACCGTCCAAAAAGGGAAAATTAACAATAGGGAAAGAATAATCATCCCTTTTGTCGTAAATTATTTTGTAGAGTTTCTGGTGTAATACTCAAATATATAAATATAAATCTAGGAAAGGACAGCCCGTTTGAACTATCGTTCGAAGTGTAAGTTTGGTTGTACTTCTGGCGGTAAACAAAATAATATTACCAAAGTCGGCAACTGTAAGCATGTAGAAACACAACAAGTTTGTCTTTCCAAATATCTGTCATTCTTAAAATTGTCTGCCGCTAAGTGTAACCATGAAGCCGTTAGAATAGGAAGCTCGGGTTCCTGATTATATTTCTAACGTTAAGATAAAATGGGTCAGAAATGACTAAATGGATTAGCACTGATGCGCTTGCATTATGATTGATTGATTGTTATTTTTCTTTAACGTCCAGTGGCAAATATGCCATGCATGTTCCGGACGAAAGCAAATTAACAATAAAAACAATAGGTTTGATCGGGATGATTGCTCGAAATTTGGACTGTCAATAGAAAATGAGGGTAAATTGGATATGGATAAAACAGACCACCATCGGACCCCTCAAAGAGTTATTGCAAGGTTTCGTCACGTGCAGAGAGCCTGGTATCTCTACAAGAGGCATCGGATTCAACAAACGGACGCCACACCTTGATAAGCCCTTTACTGCCGTTCGGAAGAAGACCAAGGGATGACCATTTTTCTATAATCCAGCCACACAAGCCCTTTGGGTTTGCACGTGCATTATGATTTACAACAAGGCGTTCATGGACTCAATTACACTTTTTCTCGCGGATATTCAAGAAAAATGAAATTTGAATCAATTTTGTTAACCAATGGTTACCATTTGCTTTGTTACTTCCTTCATGACCTTGATTATCAATAAAAAAAAACGTCCGATATTTTTCGCTAAAATGTCCTACCAAAGCGCTAAAATGTCCTCCGTCGTCATAACTATACATTTCGATGATATACAAATATTTTTGTGGTAGAAAAAAGCACCAATTAAAAAACTCTGGAACAAAATTAAATGACTCCTTAACAAGTTTTTTTTTTGCATTCCTTACACCTTTAATACTGGACATTGTATATCTGAAGCTCATCTATAGGCTATAGAATGTTCTTACAAATATTTTGAATCAAAGGTCAATCAATATCACAATTTCTAGCGCTTTAAGGGCAGACGATACAGTAGCAGGGGTCAAATAGTACAGTTTCTAAATTAAAGGTGTTGTTTTTATAAACTTCATCTGTTTTCCCCCTTTTTCAATCAATGATGCTCTGCTTTGAAAACGCATTGTCAAAATTTGAAGAAAAAAATCAACGGTACATTTTTTTCTGTACCTTATGTAGAACCAAAATTATTGTCAACAATACTTGTTACTGAATGATAATTTTATTAATAAAACAAACATTTTACCCCCCACCCCCGAAAAATACAGATTGCAAAATTGCAATCGTGAGCCATTTTTATAACTTGGTTACATATTTCAAAAACAACATTTATTAGAAAATTCCGCAGCTATGTTAAGCTATAGAATCTTCTCGCAGATATTACATTGAAGAACCAGATATTACATTGAAAAACACAGATATTACATCGAAGAACGCACATATTACATTGAGGAACACATATATTACATTGAGGAACACATATATTACATTGAAGAACACAGATATTACATTGAAGAACACATATATTATACATTGAAGACAGCTACTACATTGAAGAACACAGATATTACATTGAAGAACACAATAAAATCTAACAAATACAGTCAAAATTTGGCCGACAATCTAAATGAAAAACAAGAGAAGATACAATCATTTTAGATATGTTCCAATTGTCGTAACCATAATCCCTTCCTCTTTTCCTCGAATGTGACCTACCGAATAAGACTTATCACTTGGTTTGTACTTACATGAGCAACAAGACGGAGCATGCCATATGTGGAGCAAAATCTGCTTATCCTTCCGGAGAACCTAAGATTACCCGGGTATTTGGTGGGGTTCGTAGAGAATGATAATAAAATACTATGATAAATGTTAAGTTATGAAACAATATGAGATCTAATATTGAAATACAATTTAGATAATCCTGGTTTTACAAATGCAGGACCTATGGTTAATATAGATATTCCGTTGGTAAGAGATAAAGAAAATCTATAGGCATCTCTGATTTCTCAGTCCTACTATATCATAACACGTATTATTCAACCTGAAAATAGAAAATTATGAAAGATGATACATTTTACACTGTAAATAAAGTCACTGTATACTGCTGTACCTGTATTTTACACTGTAAATAAAGTCACTGTATACTGCTGTACCTGTATTTTACACTGTAAATAAAGTCACTGTATACTGCTGTACCTGTATTTTAATTTGTAAAAAAGGGAACATATAAACATCAGCTTTAACTTAACTTTTAAATTACACTATATTGTTTTTGAATTTCTTTTTTCAAAAGGTTACGAATTCTACCCCAAAATATGTTCTAAATAGCTTTGCAATTATAACGGAATAACCATAGATTGTCTATGTAGTTTACGGAATAACCATAGATTGTCTATGTAGTTTACGGAATAACCATATATTGTCTATGTAGTTTACGGAATAACCATAGATTGTCTATGTAGTTTACGGAATAACCATAGATTGTCTATGTAGTTTATAACGGAATAATCATAGATTGTCTATGTAGTTTACGGAATAACCATAGATTGTCTATGTAGTTTACGGAATAACCATAGATTGTCTATGTAGTTTACGGAATAGCCATAGATTGTCTATGTAGTTTACGGAATAACCATAGATTGTCTATGTAGTTTACGGAATAACCATAGATTGTCTATGTAGTTTACGGAATAACCATAGATTGTCTATGTAGTTTATATATACTGTTTGCGTTTAACTTACCATTTTTCATTTTACTAAACCCAACGCAAATTACTGTTTTTAATTTTCGAGCAATAGACAGCCTTTTTCATTATCATTATCATTATTATGCTATGTAACTGCGCAAGATTTTACTGCTTTATGGATTAAACTTCTAATGATGACATTTGAAAAAATAATTTGACCAGAGCTATACATGTGCAAGAAAACAAACATTATAATTTGATTTTCTTTTTTCTTCTATACACATTATCCTTCGGTAGAAGTTCACCGTCACTAATTAAAATATATAAATGTGCATATCGAGCACAACATTATATAAAGTTAAAAGTAATTACATTTTTCACAAACGCATTTCTTCTTATTTTTCTTGCCGGAACATTTCCCATGATAACATCCCGATCTGTCACAGCAGTCTAAACAGTTCTTTTTGGCATTCTTTAATTTGTCCTTGTTTTGTGAATTACAACCATTCACTACTTTCGAGCACTGATCCTTTGTCATGGTAAGGTCTGGATTCCATGATGCCTTTACATCTTTTAACCCTACAACATACGGATTTGTTTATAGTTTATTCATACTTCAGTGATTTTTACTCAATATAGATCATTATCGTGTCCGTTTTCATGTTTATAAATTATTTATTCTATTATGTGCAATGACAATGAACAATCGGCTAACCTCGGGTGACTCCGCTTCTCTCCATACGGAATCGGCCGAGTTGTGACGAATTGTGCAATGAATTCAAAACTTTGGTTTTCTATAATTTAAGTTCAAATTTGAATAAAAGTCAGGGGTTATAATTTTTTTTGTGTTTTGAAGTTAGAGACGAGAAAAATTCGGAATCAGTCATGTCACAAAGTAACCTGTAGTTTGTAGTAACAAGAAATGACTTTAAAAAATGAAGTGAAATGGGTGAATCTTGAAATAAGAATACAATCTTTAATTCTGAAATTTATCCCTGTATCTATGATCTTATAACCTCTCTATCACAACAACTTCAATTAACTTAAACTTAAAATTAAACCAAAGATTGATTGATTGGTGGCTGTTTTAAGTCCAGTGGCAAGTTTAAGACGTATTCAGTACGAGAAAATGTTTATGTGATATTCATATAAACCCGACTTTGTACTTAACCGACACGGTGAGCCGGATTATGAACGTGCTAGTTTACAAGGTTACAGTCTGCAGGAAGATATGTCACTGAACGACACATTAGTCTGACTCCAGCCCGACTAGTAGTTACTCTTACTTCTAAATACGGCGTGCTTAGCGGAGAAGTATCAATTACGAATTTTCAAATCTTTTTTTTTTACCTAGTCGGGGATAGAACCCACGAACTCACGCACTCGAGCATGCTACCACGAGACCAACCATGCAGTTTAACTCAAAGACAAATTCTTTTCATACTACTTGATCAATACATGTTTTTAGATTGCATTAAATAACATGAATTAGTTGAAAGACAAATGTATTTATTACTTTATTAAATGTTTTCCTATGTTTTAAATGTTTCATAATAAATAAATTAATTTTATGTACTTTCCATATCAATCATTTCATCACATTACATAGTTATTATATATGTTTAAATGGTCCGAATCTGATTTGAAACTTTCTTTTACCTTTTGAATTGCAAAAGTATTTTATCAGTTTGGACATGAACATAAAAAAACATTACATTAAAGACAAGCACTGAACATAAACTATACATGTAAATGAGAAGAAAAACACTGAATATAATATAAAATAAGGAGATATGATATGATTGCCAATGAGACAACTATCCACCAGATACCAAAAGACGACTAGATGTTTGTAACTATAGGTCACCGTTGAGAAAAGTTTATACCGCACAGCAAGGTATAAAAGGTCCCGACATAACAAAATGCAAACCAGTAAACAAACGGCCTAATATATGTACAAAACAATAAACGAAAAACTTCCAAATGAATGTTATCCTGATAAAAAAAAAACGAAATGAGTTACAATATTTAAAATAAAACATTCGGCTGCAGTACGTAATAAACACGAAAAGAATAAATTATGGAAACAAAACTTACCTAAAAGACAAACAACAAACACAACGAATATTACTGCATACTTCATTTTCTGCTGAGGAACGATTCTTTATAATTTTGTGTCACGATAAACTCCACAAATGTTGTGCCCTATAAAATAGAATGATACATGCATACTGGATATTTGTATAACCCATGCTGAAAAGGGGTAGGATCCGTTTGGCATTGCGGGATATACAAATAGGTAGCCACGTCCAGTCAAAACGGGGACGTTAAATCACTCAAGTATGGGAAGTATCAATCTCGCACCACGTTTAAGAATCCTTGAAACAAATTCGATGGGATCCATATAGGTGGCCTAGTGCAAGGCAAAAATTTCTGCCCCTACCAAACATAGCCTTGTTTTCCAGTGACAGCTCAGATTTCCCGGTTCAGTTCTATTTGCCACTGGACGATTAGCAACCAACAATCGCTCAATTCAAAATCAAGTGGGGTCGGTAACAGGACGTCAAAACGATACTATGTGTAGGTAGAGTGTCGAGTTTTGAATAACCCCTGCGATAAATCGATAACAGGGCTTTTGGAAGGCAATATTTCCGCAGTCCAAATTTCCTCACAACTCGGTCGACCCACTCTGCATAAGTTGCCAATTGGAATTATTGTTAATTTGTTCTCATCCTGGATATGCAAGAAATTTTTTTCCCGTTTATGAAAGGACATGAAAATCTGATTTCTACTACTAGTAAATGTATAATCATTGTGGTTTTCCCTTGAAAAGCGCAAATGTCCGGCCAATTCAGTACAGGTGCACCAAAATTAGAAGTGTCTATCATGTTAGAAGCGCAATTGCCCTTTCGTGTTAAAGGTAAAAAAAAAAACCACAAACGTCCTGAGCCCTATGTTTTGGTCTTCAAATCCCTTTGCTGACTCAGGCATTTTGACGAACTTTTTTCCAAAACGCTTAAACTAAATAAAAAAAATTGCATCTTCAACTGCCTAAACTAATATGTTACCATTAACTTACCTGATTTTGTGTTGACAAATTTTTAGAATTTCAAAGCAAACAAAATAATTTTCTATTTATATACTGGTTCCTAACATAAAAAATACATTTTCCTATTTTCAAGATGGCAGAATTAGTACTTGCTTGTCATGCTTATGGCAATGTACATGTATTTATTGCATTCAATTATTTGATTTAAATCTGGTTTTAATAGGAAAATCAATAAAGACTGTCCGTCATGATAGAAACATTCATCTGTTATACTACAGGAGACGGTTGACAAAGGTAATCCATGAGATAAATGATTGTATAAATTTTTTAAAGTCATTCCTCAATTTATGGCTATAAACAATTTTTCGATTTATTGCGTTCCAAATTTTTTTCCTACAGCCATCTTTCGTTTCACCTGGCTTAAATCAAACTTTTTCGAAATTGTGTAGTTAACAAACAATTTTTGTCTAGTCGAAAAAACTAAGTATTGTAATTTGCAATTTACATTTGAGTGCCTTTTATCACTTAGTGAGTCAAATCAATGCGGAAATAATACTCATTCGATCATTTAATTTTGATTATATTCAAATTATAACATACTTTTTTTTAAATAACCGCATAATTATACAGATAAGAACATATATAAAATTGTTCAATTTTTTGGTAACTATTCACATTTATCAGGAAACACATCATACATTCATATTTGTAAAACGATAGACAATAAATAGAAATATTATAGCTTATGGTTGTCTGTATTTCTTTTTTATTATAGTCTAAATAAAATATCTAGGTTTCACCCAATCATACTTGTGTTTGATGTTAATGAATTATTGCAAAGCGATTGAAATTTAATATCTATGCAAAAGTAGGGATATTGTTTTTTAATTTATTCGCTATTTTTTTAATTTCAAAAATCATTTCTGGATTTATATTCATCAGGAATACTCAAACCATCCAAGGTCAACTTTGCCAGATGGAATCTGATTTTCTTAAAATAAAAAACGCATTTTTGATATATAAAAAAATCTATTTTTAATTTCATTTTATCCAGATTACAGCGTTAGTCTGGATACCCCTGTGATTAGTTACTGAACTTCCAGGGAATAAAAGTTCAGCAAATAAATATAAATGTTAATTTTACAATTTCTTACATTATTTCATTCCTAAGCATAGTTAATATATTTCTAAGTTGGTGTCACATGTTTACGGATCAAAATCATTCTTCTCACCGGGTTTGACGTGTTTTTCTTGAATCTAGTTTTAATTTCAATGAAAATGATTTATGCTCTAAAATAAATTTTAGATTGCAATATTAATGAATCGATATATATATATATATAGAAAAATAATTAGTTCATATCAAAAGATAGTAATTAATATTAAAAAAGCTATATTTGAATATTAGAAAGATAAAAAAATAATTTTAAAATAAAAATCGAACTTCTTATATCCAAATATTACAAAAAATAGACAATAAATTCACCAACGGCTTGGCATAAATCGAGTTTTAAATGTCCAGTTTTGAATGCATGATTGGAATCTGGGTCATCAAATTAATACCATACCATCTGTTTAAAATGCCTCACGGCATAGTTAAAATGTGACGAATATTACTGCAAAATCAGTATTTGTCAGGCAAAGAAGATCAATATGAATGGTCATAATTTGTTCTGGTTAATAAAATTTAATGGTTGTCCTAATTTCGGTCACTGGATATACAATACACAAATGTGTACTCAGATAAGATTTGAGTTTTATACCTGTTAAAGGTTTTTAGCTGTAACTCATATCACTTAAAAGTTTTACAGTAGTCATGCATCCCAAATTTTACGATCGTAAAAGTATCAGCTAGATGCAATTTACAGCAGTCATTGAAGTGCTTTACGTACGCAAAATGGGATCCCGAAATTTGTTTTCATTGCAGTTTGTGGCTAAAATTGTTGTTATAACAATATTGACTTACAGCAGTTCTTTTGCGCCAATTGCTATTTTCAAGATGTATCATTTGGGCCAAATATTATTTTTCCAAGGTACCAATTGCGCAAATCTATGGAATTATGTACTAATATTTATCGTATATTACCTTTCATAAAATATGGTACCATAAAAAGAGTAATTTATGGAATAAGGGACTATTGTTGAAAGATATGCTAAAATGATAAGAAAGTAGAAGTTTATGATGGTTATGTGTTGACCACATATGTTAATAACTATGCTTTGTTTCCAGTATTCTTATGGACTGAATTTCAATCAACAAACAACTGCGAGACGCACTAATAATTGACCAGAGGCGTTTCATAAGATAAATAATAAATAAATATTTATTTTATTATAGTGTCACATATTGATTGACAAATATTTACATATCACAGTATTCAACAAAACAATCAATACCCAGTCATAAATTTGACTTATGAGACACTTAACACATGCTATGTACATATCAATATAGTTTCACAGTTAAATTCATAAAATTATCATCAAAAAAATTTAAACATTTTTATGCATTTAAAAGCATATACATTTTGAGCAAAAAAAATAAAAATCTGAAAGGAATGTTGTTTAAAAAGTTTAAAAATAAATAAAAAAGAATAAAAAAAATATATATTTTAACATATATAAACAATTTGCATATTTAATATTATCCTAAAATTAATCACAGTGACTTTAAAATCATAAAATAGACTCTTACTGATAGTGTGTTATTAGTAATAATTAAGAAAATAATTTTCGTCTCATCAAACTCTTGTGTAAACATTTGCTTAGACATTTTTGAATATCGGAACATTTCATTATTTCAACAAGCTTAACATCATCATTTAACATTGAGAAATTGTCAATATATTGTGAACATTCGAACAACAATTCAAACCTAATGTCATCATATAAGGAGCAATTTAAAAGAAAATGTTTTTCAGATTCAACACTATTTAAGGAACAAAATTTACACAGTCTATTTTCTAGTGCTGTAGGCGGCCTGGTGTACCTGCCAGTCTCAATGGCTAACGGGAGCGAACCGGAGCGGAACAAGGCTAGAGTACGTCTGTACGAGCGTGGTATAATTTGGAGAACGTATGTCTCGGCATAATTGTTAGTTTTGAATAACCTGTACGTTCGAAGTTTGTTGCCATTTTGATGTCCACGATCATTAAATAGTTCACTTTGCCATTCGGTATTATCTAACACCTTTATTTTGTCCGTCACAAACTTCATAACTGTTTTTGTAGATAATAACAGATCATTTACAGTGTTTCGAATGTTTAATAAGTCGGTAATTTTATCCACCTCGCGGCACCAACCTTTACGTCTTCTCGAGGCCTACTTCCAAATTTTGAACACGTTTCGATTTTGGTCTGTTCTTGTTATTTTACACAACAGTCTGATACAGGATATACGCTGCTTATTTAAACATGAAATCCACCCCATGTCGCCCCGACTTGCGATATTGGACGTGTTTTTTCCTACAGATAAAAAGAATTTACAGGCTTTGTTTTGAACTGTATTAATGACATTAATTGATTTAGTTCCCCACACTGCACTTCCGTACATCAGAATTGGATCCACCATAGAATTATAAAGTTTAGTGTATACACTATGTGACATTCCACCAGATGATGCAAATTTACCAAAAAGAGCTCCTAAAGCTCGACTAGCGGACTTCGCGAGTTCTTTACTGTTTTTGATAAAAGTCAAATGCTCGTCTAGCCATATCCCAAGATACTTATATGAGTCAATGCATTTAATACTGTTTGCATCACATTCAAAATAACATCTGGTAAGGTTAAATGACTGTGGGCGAAAATGTACAACTTTAGTTTTATCTGCATTAATGGATAACTTCCAGTTAGAGCACCAGTCTGTCAACACATCCAACATAATTTGTAGACTTTCTTCGTTGGGCGCAATTAAGGCAATGTCATCCGCGTACAACAATATGCTTAACATAGTCTCATTTACAGCGATTCCACAATTCAACGCATTTATACGGTCTGCAAGGTCGTTAATATATACCGCGAAGAGCGTGGGCGACAGTATACAGCCTTGTTTTACTCCGGACGTCACACTGAACCAAGGGGTTAACTCATTATTCACACGGACAGTACATTGAACATCTTCATAAAGCAATTTGATTGCACCAAGAAACTTCCC